ATTATAAATATATGAGTTATAATAATAATAATAATAATAAAATAGTAATATATATGAAATAGGAAAAAGAATGAATAAATATGGTGGGGTATATGTTGAAGTGATGTGGTTATGGTGGGTCCCAAATAAAGTAAAAAACTTTCTGAAAAATCTCCTGCTGTAGAGTTGATAGGGAAATGAAGATTATTGAATTAAATAAAGTGATGTGGCAGGAGAGAAGGGGGTGAAATTTCACCTCCTGCTGGAGATGGTCTAAATAGATTCCAATGATTTGACAATTATCTCAAATTTTATGGGTGGGCTATGACTCTTACATTTAGCTCCTATAAAGATTATAAGTTAATCATTACTATATCTTTTAAGATCATAATGATTTTGAGGCTAAATATCATAAAACTCTCCTTAACTTTAAATGATTATTAGAAACCCCTCTTTTAACTTTGAAAATATCAAAAGACCCCTCTTAAGTTTAGGGTTTATTAGAAAAGCCTATTTAATTTCGATAACTTTTCTAATAAAATCTCAAAGTTAATTTTGATACTTAAAGAGAGTTTTTTGATATTTTCAAAGTAAAGAGAAGTTTTGTGATAGCTAACCTAAGTTTTTAATGCTCATGAACCAATAAGCTTGATCTTCTCATATTTCCCTCGAATTTATAAGCAGTATCTTGAGCATACGCTAGAAAGTGACGGGACTAAAAAAAATCATGTACGCGGGCATCAACCTATCATGCAAATAGTCAATTATTCAAATGGCCCTAAACTAAAGCAATTAATTATTATGCATGTGCATTAACGTCACTCTCGCCGACGACTTGGTACTTATCTCACAGATCGAGTACTCGTAATATGTCCTCGTCAAAGTCACCATCAAATCAATGCTCTAGCTAGTAAGGACGATCAAAACACTAATCATGTTGTTTTAGGGAAAATGATAGGGGCACACCCTCAACCACACCTCCAACCACACCCCCTCTCTCATTTGCTATAGTACACTGGGCCCCACATGTGATTTTAAAATTTTAAAATCACATGTGGGGCCCGGTACACTGTAGCAAATGAGAGAGGGGGTGTGGTTGGAGGTGTGGTTGGGGGTGTGCCCCTAGTGCCACCCTTGTTTTAGCTAGATCGTCGACATAAATCATTTGGCTTAGTTTAATGAACACTTTATAAATGTGCAATTAACTTTCTTCAAGTGAGTTTTTTACGTCGGTGGATTTTTGAAGTATATCATACCCCATTTAAAAGCACGAGTTCGAATTTTTTTTTCTATGATCAATATTATCCTTCAATATTTTAAATATTTTATTTATATCCTAATCTATCATAATCATAATTATATTTTATCCTAATCCTACATAAACTATCTATAACTTAACAATTTAAAAATAATATATATAAAATATCTTTTTATGATATTAGTGTGCAAAGATAAAGAAATTATATGTAGCTAATGTACTATAATACATAAAGTATTATAAAAAATATCTAAAAAGTTTTAAAATTGCACAAAATACCCTTAAAGGTTTAAAATTATAAAAACTATCCCGACATCTAAAAACTTAAAACAATAAATATGAAATCAAGAAATTAATAGTGAAGAATTTAAAATTTGCGTATAACATCTCATTATCCCAAAAACTAAAGAAACACCATCAAAAGTTTAAACTACAAATAAGCATCTGAAATTCTAAAATTTCAAAACTTACAAACAACACAGATGAATTCAAGGGATTACCATAATGCACCTGAAAATTTTTGACATTTCAAACATTAAAATAACAAACATAAAATTAAGAAATTAACAGCCGCCTCTGAAGAAATTAAAATTTTTAATTAACACCCTCAATATCCCCAAAATTATAGAAACTCCCTCAAAAGTTCAAACTATAAAAAATAACCCTAAAAATATAAAAATATTAAAGTTTTCAAATAACAAAAAATGAATTCAAGAG